ACGTTGGCCCAGCTAACGGGCCTGAATAGGATTTGCCTCCAATGACGACATTTTCACCATGAGCAGGGCCTACCCTCTTCTTCACTGCCAATTCCGGCTTTTGCCTCTGCCGACGCGATGTGGAAGTCTAGAGCCCCCTCCCTCTGCAAATTCTTCATGTGGCTACTTGAGTACTTGTTCATCAACGTGGCTTCACGGGTGATAACATTCAGTTGGCCGAATAATGCGACGTCCACTGCAAATTCTCGCAGCACATTTAGATCAGCGTGCGCGAGTAGGTTAAGGTTGATTTCCCTACCACACCAGAATTTTTCACTGACTCCTATAGCTCGGTCCCGGATGTTTTTGAGGCTATCAGAAGAGGACTCGAGAAGTAAATGTGGAGAGCTACGGGCTACTTTCATCTTCATCTAGAGCAGTGCTGGTCGCAGTTTCTTGGGCTCGTAATTTTCTTCCTTGTTATTTGGTTGCCTGTTGAGTTAGAAATCCAGCCATGACTGTAACCCTTTTCTGTACTTAATAAAGATCGGTTTCTGACCTTTCGAATAAATTGGGATCACGATACATAATTTTAGTGTTCTACAAAATATCACAGACGGGGCCAAACAATTTTGGAGAAGAACCACCAGAACTACACCTCTTCTGAAGAATCCTAGATCAGGAGGTTCACACACTCACACGTCTCCAAGGTGTTGGGTGTGACCCCGCCGGTCGTGTCAGTTATCTCGAACTCTCGAGTTCCAGCATCGCTGGGCCGTCCTTTGGTAACTTTTCACGCCTCACCCAGCTCACGCACGTCGATCTCTCAACAAACAGTATCACAGGCCAACTCCATCGAGATCTCAAGCACTGTTGGGGTCTTCAGTACCTCAATTTGTGGGATAATTGGTTGCCTGGAGGGCATGCTTTTTATCCCACCTCCTTTGTGCATAAATCTGACCCCTCGATGGGGGAAGCGCTCTAGCGCGACTCCTGGAGTGGGGACATCCATGGTGGTCCCTCATCTCAAGCCCTTGCCCAGTATCTATGGCTATGGGATATCGTTGCCGAGGTGTTGACTTGGAGCCTGGTAGTCCAGACGTCGCAGTGTGACGCCACTCCATTGATGGCACTTCTGCCGTGAACAGAGCCTACCACCCTCTTCTTTTCGTTTCGCTGCCAAGTCCCACTTTGCCTGTGCCGCGGCGATGTGGAAGTCAAGAGCCCCCTCCCGCAGCAGATTCTTCATGTGGCTACTTGTTCATCACGGTGGCCTCACGACTGATAACCTTCAGTTGGCTGAATAATGCAACCTGCCAGCTGTGCCTCATCTCCGCGGAATGTTTTTTTCCAAGCATACACAAAATGCGTACCATAGTCTCGCCGGAATGCTGCACCCACATGTTCGTCCACCGCAAATTCTCGCAGCAAATCTAGACCAACTTGCGCGAGTGGGCTGCGGCTAACTTCCCTATCACACCAGCATGGAGGAGTGGTGACTGCAGGATCAAAAGAACCAAGTAAATACTTTGATACGATGACCATCCTGGCGCACTGGGGTATTTGTAGGGAGCGAAATGCCAAAAAATACGATGACTCCTACAGCTCGGTCCGGTAGGTTTGTGAGGCTATCAGGGAAGACTTGAGAGTGTGGAGAGTTGCAGGCTGCTTCAGTTGTTTTGGTTGGTTGTCATTCTCCTACTTCAACACAACCTCTGTCTTGAGTTAGAACTTGGGTTGTATCTGTTACCCTCTTTTCTTTGCTTATTAATAAAGATAGGCCTCCAGCCCTTCGAATAAATTGAGACCACAATGCACAGCTTTAGTGTTCTAGAAAACAGCTTTCTTGCTGCGTGATTTGACGGGTGGAAGAGAATACACGGCATTTGAGAATCCTGTGGATGATGACCACACACTCACACATCCAGTACTTGACCGGTTGGCCTAGCCCCAAAGACAAGTTACTACTGATGGTGAAATCTCTGAAGTGGTCTGCAGAAGAGTCTTTTTTGGTGACAAGGATGAGGATCCTACAAAGACTGAGGTACAAGGTGCAAACCAAACTCCTAATACTTGTGTCTTTATTCAGATCCATGGCTGCTTTTCGCCACATTCTTGTTGCATTTTGTCAGGCACTTATCATCGGTATGTATGGAAATGGAATCCTCCTGCCCGTATGATCAGTCACACGTTCCATTGCATTTCTTGCTTAATCCAGACTAACAATGGCCTCTGATTTAATATGGCGCTGTTGCAACAGCTGAGGTGATCCTGGGGCAAAGTGATAGGCAGCTGCTCCGCGAACTGAAGAGCTTCCTGCAGGCGCAAAACCCGATCAACCGTGGCGCCTATGACACTTGGTCAGAGGCCGAGACCTCGCCATGCCATCACCAAGGCGTTGGATGGACGCCGCCGGGTGTGTCAGTTATCTCGACCTCTCGAGTTCCAGCTTAGCTGGGCCGTCCTTCGGTAACTTTTCACGTCTCACTCAGCTCACACACCTCGATCTCTCAGCAAACAGTATTACTGGCCAACTCCATCCAGATCTTAAGCACTGCCGGGGTCTCCAGTACCTCAACTTATCAAGCAACCTCATTGGTGGCGCCCTTGATGTGTCCACCCTGACCAACCTGCGCATACTAGACCTATCCTAGAATCGGTTCCAGGGCGACATTAGGACAAACTTCCCGTCCATCTGCCGCAACCTCAGTGTTATTGCTGTCTCCGACAACAACCCCACAGGCAGGATAAGTGGGCTGTTCAGTGGCTGCTCCTAGCTTAGTGATGTTGATCTGAGATGGAACCAATTCACCAGAAAGGATGTATGGAAAGGGATCGAAAGGCTTACACGGTTCACGGCTACAGCAAACAACCTCACAGGGATCATTCCTTGCAGCACATTTCCCAAGGGGTGCAAGCTGCAGTCTTTGGATATCTCCAGCAACCAATTGTCTGGCAGTTTCCCAAATTTTGCACAAGCTTGAAATTCCTGTCCCTATGGGACAATAGCTTTGGTTCGATTGCGGGACTCAAAGAGCTGGGTCTCTCGAGCAACCAGTTCCATCACAAGATACCACTTGAGCTGATGAACTGCACCAACCTAAAAAATTTGGAGATCAGTCGCAATACCTTTGGAGGGGAGGTGCAACAAGTCCTTGGAAAAATAACCAGCCTGAAGAGCCTTGTGCTTCAAGGGAATAATTACAGTGGGGGCATTATCTCCTCTGGCATTCTACAGTTGCCAAACCTCATCTGTCTTGACCTCGGCTTTAACAAATTCTCCGGTAGCCTAATGAAATTGCTAGCATGACAAGCATTGGACTTATCGTACAACAACCTCTCCGGCGAGATCCCACCAGAGATTGGTAACTTGGCATCGCTTCTCTTGTTGATGCTGGCTGGGAACCAACTTTCAGGAGAGATCCCAAGAGAGATAGGAAACTGTACTAGCTTGCTCTGGCTCAACCTTGTCGGAAACCAGATATCCGGCAAAATTCTGCCTGAGATGGCAAATATGGGGAGGAACCCCAGCCCAACCTTTGCCAAGAACCGAAAAAATCCTTC